CCCGCTGGCGAGCGCGCGGCGGAGCTCGTGGCGTGGCGCTCCCCGCGAGGCCCTGGCGGCTCTGAGCCCGTTTGTGTGTGTGGCCTGGCCATTTCTCCTCCACAGGGCGGCGTGGTGCTGCTGCGTGGCCGTGGCGGTGGGACGGGGCTGTGGCGTGGGGGCGGGGGTGGCCATGGCGATGCTGGTGCCCGTGCCGGTGCGGTGCAGGTGGCGTGGGTGATGATGGTGGTGAAGACGTGGTGGCTGTGCTGATGGAGGTGGAGATGGCACCGCAGGGCCAGGCCCTGGGAATCCGCTTTCAGCGGAGCATCTCCCTTCACCCTCTGAGTAACCCCACGAAGACGCTGGCTGCCACAGGAGGGCCCGGACCATGTCGGGCTCGAGCTGTTTGTGCGCAGACGAGCCCTCCCCGCCCCAGCGCAGCGCCGGACTCAAAGGGCTGGAGGGCGGAGGACGCAGCAGGCCGGAGTCTGCCACTGCCGCCGAGCCCACGCCGGCTCTGCCCGGCGCCAGGAGGGCCCACCGTGGGGAGGCTCGCTCTCGTGGGAGCGGCCATCTGGGCGCTGCTTTCAGAAGCAGAGGTCTGTGGCCTGGCGGCCACTTGCCGCCTTTATCGACGCCTGGCGTGTGAGGCCCTCTGCCCGGTTTCCTCCAGGCGCGGCGGTGGGGGAAGGGCCTGGGAGGGAGGGCCCAGGGTGGCCACCCCACGATCTGAGACCTTCTCTCTGGCCCCTCTTCCCCTGACAGAAATGCCTGGAGCTTAAGACGAGCCTGCTGGCCCGGCAGCGGGGCGCCCAGTCCTCCCTGGACCGCCTGCGGGCCCTCCTGAGACTGATCCGGGGCGAGCAGAGGCTGCAGGTCACCATGGCAACCGCCAGCCCCGGCCCGCTGCTAGCCGGGCCCTGGACCAAGTCCGCGGCGGCAGCCCTGCGCGCTCACTCCGTCCTCCCGCACCCCCCGGGCCACAACTGACCCCCGACCCGTCTAGCACCCTCGGAAAGCCCCGGGCCCTGTTTGAGGCCTGGGGTCTGTCAGCCTTAATCCACAAGCACTATGAATTCAGACAGAAGTGGACCAGACAGACAGCTGAAGGAAGTGGGGGCGGGGCGGGGCATCCCAGAGCTGGGGCCAGTTGGGATGGAGGTCTGTGCCCGCACTGCAGAGGGGCCAGTCTGTGCCCGCAGCCAGGCGGCCAGCCCGGTGGCGGCGAGCTGCCCGGGCCTCCGGCTTCTGGGCAAGGCTATCTCCACGCCCCCGTGCTCCCTGAACCCCCAGGGTCCCAGGCAGAGTTCCTGGGGGCCAGGAAGATGGCCCTGCCGTGGCGGGGCAGAGGCAAGCCCTCCCCGCTATCCGTGGAAGGGGCAGCGGCCAGCAGACCTGTAGCTGAGTAGTAGAGGTAGTTGGGGGCCGCGGGGAGCGAGTCTGGGTGGGGCGGAGGAGCTGCTCCGAGTACCTGTCCGGCCCAGCCAGCACTGGGGGCCACGCCCGCCTGTCAGTATTATTAGCAGGAAGAGCGGCAGTTTGCCTGAGCGGCTCTGCTGAGGCCTTCCTGGGTGCTGCGGGCCTCCGCGGCCCCTGCCTCCTGCCCACCCCGGCTCCTTTGCGGGCCACGTCTTGTTCTCACAGAGCCCGGGGCAGGGGGTTGGTTGGGGGTTTGCTGTGGCGCCCCTGGCTGCCAGCCTCGCCTCCCCCACTCCCCCTTTCTCGCCAGCACAAACACTATGCCAAAAATAACTCTACCTTTGTATGGTGTTTCCACTGTGAGGTGTTTAATGTGAAGGGGGCGCCTGCTGGGCTCCCCCGCCTCGGGTGGTCTCTGCTGCCGGGCGGTGGGGACCCTCCCCCGCAGGTGCCAAAATGGAGCGGCCCAGGGGCGTGGGCACTGGGCCGCCTGGGAGGCGGGGCCTCTCCCTGGCTCGGCTGGGGGGCGGGGTCTTGCCGCCCTGCCCTCGGC